CATCCAACACACATACCCACAGCCCCTGAAAAAACCCATACCCCCCACACCTCCCATAATATAAAAGAGTAAGACTTCATTTTGCGCTATTATGCAATCACCTCTCTATATACACAATGCAAACACACACAAATCAGAACAATAATATTTTTAAAAATAAAATTAAAATATGTTATTGTGGATGTTTGATTTTTAGTATATAATTTTTTTTCCGGCTCCAAGATGGCAAACCCCTTTCCTAAAAGGAGTACTGCCGGGGGCAAGGGGAGGGACTTCCAGTGGCAAAGGTCAAGGGTTAGGAGGCAGGACGTCCGGCTCCAAGATGGTGACCAGGGGGTAGGGTGCTTTTCAAGGAGCAGTGCCACCCTTGCAGCTCTCAACAGCTCACCAAAACTCATTAAGTGGCCCTCCAGCTGAAATAATTGCCCACCCCTGGAGCAGGTCCACTGATATCAATGGGCCTACCTTATATACTTAAAGTTAAGCATGTGCTTAAAGTACTTTGCTGGATTGGGCCAACATTTATAAAGCTGAACAATATGAATGCAGTTGGAGTAAAGTAGATATGTATGTGCATGTTTTTAATAAATCTGCAGCTCTAGACATAATGAATCTCCCATCATTAATGAACCATCTTTAAACTGACCAGAAGGATGCTGGGGACTGGACTGGATGGCCTCTATAGGTCCCTTCTGGCCCTGCTTCTCTATGATTCTATAATTTTAAGGCACATATTTTGATTTACTAACTAACTGTGAGAAACAACTTCTGTAAGCCTGTTCCTGCTCTCTTGAGAGAGTACTTAGGATACTCAGAACACATATTACCTAAACTTAACACATGTAGGACACTATATGACTACCTTCTAGGAATGGATAAGGACTCTAGCTGTACTGGGTCACAAAGCAAGAAGTGCGGGGAAAGAGACAGGTTCTTGTATTTTCTACCTCCCTTGTGCTCCAGAATGTTTGCATTCAATAAACATTTTTTAATGAATTTTTGTATCTTTTTTGTCCCTATAATCAGTACATCTGATTCTGACCATGCCTAGGGTTAACTGAAGTTTTACTTACCTTTGATGTGTAGTTTTCATCTGGCTCAATAAGGTAAGTATGATTCCCATCATAGAACATTCCACTGTTAAAATCAGGAAATGTAAACATTGATTTTAAAAGATTTCTAAAAAATTAAAACAATTTAAGCAGCTTGTGTTATGGCTGAGAAACTGAGAAACAACCAAAAAACAAAATGTAAAAGCATTTTGGGAATTTGTTTCTGAGTCCATATGCTAGTTTTGTTACTTGATAACCATATTTTCCCATTTCAAAGTGGTAATTTCTCTCCTCCTGAAAGACCCACACAAGAACCTCAGGACCTCTTCATGACCTTTCTAAACACAGAATGAAGTTCTCTCCCTGATAGAAAATGCACCGTCCTTTGAAAACTATTTAGAAGGCTTCTCTCTTCATATATATACCTTTGTCATGCCCATATCAAGCTTATTAAACTGAAATGACCCTCAGATTTTAACTTCTTAGGTGCCATAATTCTGTCTACCTGTGGGCACCTATGGGACTGCCACATCATAATTACCAATTTTTAGCATGCCCTTAACAGTAGAAATGACTATGAATCAAAGTGAATATAAACTAAGTGCTGCCAAATGCACAAGGTAAAGGAAACAAGTTCTTCTCTCCTATGAAGTTAATACACTTATTCGAGTTTTTTAAGGGGAAAAATATATAAAATATCATATCATGAAGTTTCTGCACCAATCCCCACATTGATATGAAAGCACCCCCTCTCTTATGTGACTGTTTCCAGCCTGGCCTCCACCAAAGTGTGAGGGCACACCCTGAGGGCTACGAGTTCTGCTATTCCACAGGAAGACAAAACCTGCTACTGAACAATCTGGGGTAAACTGCAAAGGAATCTCTAGTCTTTTTTAGGAGTGAGCAACGTAGCCTCAGATCATTTAGGAAAAGGATCTTCCATGTATTTCAAATACTCAGAAAGCTTTCATGTACCCTAATGGTACTCCTCATTATATATACAGGTATTCTCTCTTTCAGACAAGTACAGACGCTTTAAGGGCATCCACTATAGACACACTGCTGTATACCCTGAAAAATCTGCTGTTGTGCATGCTCAGTAATCAATATCTTTCACATGAATGGGCACCAATATTCAAAGCTCCCAAGTGATGACACTCAGTTCAGTTTTAAATACAGGGAGCAATACAAGCTTTAAAGTATCATGGTCAATGAAGACATCCTCCCATAGTTAAATTGTATTGTATTTTCATGTTAATAGTCATGCATAACATAGCAGGAATGAAATCTAACCCTATCCAGAGATCTTAAGCATACATACATCCTACTGAAGTCACCTGATAGAGAAAATGTTAACCAACAGTATATTTAAAAACTACATTTCGTGCCCCTCTTCCATTCTTATGTTTACCTAAATCTGCCTTTCTTGCAATTTTGCCATATAGCAGCATATTGTGCATTTCTGAAAGTAAGTTGAGCCAGCATTTCTTTTCTAAAATGTTCCTTTCAATGGTTTTAAATATGGCTATAAATATGAGCTGCATATTCAAACTTGGCATACACTAAACCACCTCAGCCAGGAGCTCAGCCAGGGAGCAAGGTGTTTTTGTAGGTCAAAAAGGACAGATTTTTAAAACATTTCTATAGAAAAGTGTTGTATCTTTTTTGTCCCTATAATCAGCACATCTCACTCTGACCATACACAATTGAGTAATAAAATGATGTAATTTAATTCCCATTTTTAAAGGCCCATAACTTAATGTGAAACTTTTAATTCTTTGCAGATTTTCATTAATGTATTATATATTTGCCTAAATAGTGTGTTTCAGATATATGTCTTCACAGAATTAGCACAGATTAACATATATAGACAAGTGGGTAAAGACACACATTTTATGGAATACTGTTTGGAAACACATCCCACACACCAAAATTAAATCAATGCTTCCTTACATTATTTGACACATGTATAATCTTCAGGACTGACCTACGCCTCAGTGTTCAAAGACAGAACTTGCAATTCTCTAAAGAGCCTTGTATTTTTTTTCACACACCAGGCTTGATCTCTGATCAAACCACTCTTTAATAATGACAATAACATACCATTAGCAGCCCATTTTTTAATATTTTACCATATAAAACTCTCAAAATATTTATTTGAAACAGTTAATTTCTGTTTAATTCAATTTGGTCATAAAATTGCTATTTTTAAATTGACCACCAGTGGGCAGCAAAATCACAATCCAGCAAGAATACCAATCTGGTATTTGTACCATAGCCCATAAAATCCTTACTTTAAATCAGGCCTAACCCTGGCATGTCTATTCTGATATAGCCCTTCATTTTCCAAAAAATATGTAACAGTTTTCAAACCAAAATCATAATCCTACTAGGTGCACTGTACAAGGGACTCCTATATATACAGAAAAACTGATTTCACAAGAGGGAAGAGGAGCCCTCCCAGGGAAGAGGAATTTGCTGGACTGTGGCTTAAGAATACATATGAATATTTAAAATGCTATAATATTATTAAAAAAAAACATTTTTCCATAAACTAGGTGTCACGGAGTGGGCCCTAGGAGCGGCCGTGATCCCGCTAGCGCCCCGTGCCGTGCCAAATTGTTGCCGTGCCAAGTGTTGGCCATGGGCGATGACCTGGTGAGGGGGCTGCGGG